TGCATGGACATAAATTAAGGTTTTGTTAAAACCTGTATTATTTATAGTAATATTATATTAATAATAATATAGTATTAGTAGTAATACTATAATAATTTTTAGTAATTTATACTAATACAGTGGCAAATGCATTTTTAAAGAGGCAGTTTGAGTCAGAATTAAAGCCCCCAGTGTTTTTTTTTCTTTTCTTTTTTAAATATTTGCCAGATGATGTTTAACAGAACAAGAAAATTTTCACAGTATGTCTGATAATATTTCTTTCTTCTGGGGAAAGTCTTATTTGTTTTATTTCAGCTAGAATAAAAGCAGTTTTTATTTTTTTACACCATTTTAAAGTCAATATTTTTAGCCCCTTTAAGCTATTTTCCCCAATAGTCTATACAGAACAAACCATTGTTATACAATAACTTGCCTAATTACCCTAACCTGCCTAGTTAACCAAATAACCTAGTTTATCATCGTCATCATGGCAAATATAAAATAAATCAGTTATTAGAAATGAGTTATTAAAACTATTATGTTTAGAAATGTGCTGGAAAAATCTGCTCTTCGTTAAATAGTTATATAAATTACTATTACTATTAAGTAATATAATATATAAAAATAAACAGGGCGGCTAATAAATCTGACTTCAACTGTATATACATCCAAATGGCTCTTTAAATAATTTTTTTTTTTAAAAAAACAGAATTGGGTCTTTGCTGAAAAAAGTTTCCCGACCCCTGGTATAGAAAAATGCAATTTCAGATGCAGCCAACCTGAATCATCAGATTTTCACCCAATTTAGCACTTCAAGTGCTTATAACAGTTTTGATACGCCTGATTTAAAATATCCTTTGCATCTGTTGCATAACATCTTGTATGATCCTGAACCACAAAACTAGTCAAGTTGCACAGGTATATTTTTTGGCAAAGGCCAGAAATACTATGTATAATTTAAAATGGTCCATTTTTCTTTTATGGTATAAATCATTGTAACTTGTTATATCAAAACACAATCATTAATTAGCAATGTGCATTACTAGACCTTGATTTAAACTAATTTAAAGGTGATTTTCTTAGTATTTAGATGTTTTTGAACCCTCAGATTCCAGATATTTGAGTAGTCCTATCACAACAACATTGTAAAAAATGCTGGTTGCCTTACATTTTCAAGCTGAATCAAATTAACCCCATAAGTCTGTTGAACTTCATTCATTTTCAGCTTAGTCCCTTTATTAATCCAGGTTCGCCACAGCGGATTGCCAACTTATCCAGCATATGTTTTACGCAGCAGATGCCCTTCCAGCTGCAATCCATCATTGGGAAGCATCCATACACACTCATTCACACTCATACACTAAGGAAAATTTAGCTTACCCAATTCGCCTATAGCACATGTCTTTGGACTTATGAGGGAAACCGGAACACCCGGTGGAAACCCATGCAAACAAGGAGGGGAACATGCAAACTCCACACAGAAATGCCAACTGACCCAGTCTGGGCTTAAACCAGCGACCTTCTTGCTGTGAGGCGATTGAGCTACCCACTGCGTCACCGTGCTGCCCTCTATTATACTTTTCTTTTTTTAAACTGACTTAAAACCGCTTGTGTAACTTATAAAATTAAGTTAGAACATGATTAACTTAGTTTAGTAAGTTACGATGACCTAACAACATATGCTGTCAGGACTAATTGATCATAAAATTTCTTACAGTGAAACCATACATCGATTGAAAGCTTATATCTTTAACTTTAGGTGCGGTATAAATCTCAATTTAAAAAAAAATGACGCTTATGACTGGTTTTGTTGTCCAGAGGCACTTTATGAGAGAGGTTAATCATTTAAGATGAATATTTGGAGGTTGAAAGTATAAGCAATGGCAAAGTATAATCCAAGCATGAGTAGTGATATCGGCCTTACAAATAACTAACAATTTGCATATGTGGTGTGAGTCCGATGCGTCGTGGATCACCTTCATAGCATATCTGAAGGTAATGGCCCGCTGGGTGTTTGAGAGGCAGGTAGTGCTCTTATCATAACCTCTGGCCTGCGCTCCAGCATGCCAGCTCAGCTTACAGGAAGCAGTGAGGTGGGGGGTCGACAGGGAACCAGAGGCCAAGGGGCTTGTTTAGAAACTGACAGCGCGAAATGAGCCGCACAGACCCCAGCGCAGTCCAACCTATTAGCCAGATTGCACTTGCGTAGTCCACAATGGATAGATTTCCGAATTCTTGCGGCGGAGCTGGTCTCGTTTCTCCGTAGGTGTCTGATATTGATTTGCTTGTTACGGTCAGCCTGGCGTTTCTGCATTCGGTTTATACATTCAGCTGGATAGAAGCTGAAGAGTGAAGGAGGGAAGCCGGCCAGACTGTAAGAATGATTGTTGTGGTCAGGAACGCAGATGTGTGCGCTCACAGAGTCACAGCCATAACACTCATACACACGCACGCAAACCATTTATAAACAAACAATCACATATGCAGCTCAGGGCGTATGCTTTTATGTCGCTTATGATCAAAGCAATTATGACAGTTTAGATGAAGTGCCACATATTTAAGACGATTCGGAGATGTATACAGTTACAATTAGAAAATCGTCAGAATACAATAAATCCTCGCGCATAAACAACTCTTCGGTTTTAATGCAACACATGCAGAGAGTAGAAGGCACATTTCAATGGGGATCCATGCCGTAAAGCCTTTTGACAGCATGTCCACATTCATCTCCGGTCATATGTGGTCTTTCTCAGCTCAAGCCGGCCTCTGGAGATGCTATAAATATGTCCTGAAGCTGTTGAAATCGGGTTCATATTTATTTGGCTGGATTTAGAAGACATAAATTTTACATTTCCCTTAAGCAGCCAATAAACCAAGATGACTGAAGATCTTAAGATAAAGCATTAGATGTATTTAATGTTCCTGAGGAGCACATGAGATGCTACTTTTTATTTTATTGACTGAAGATTTATATCATTTAAGAGTATTTAAGTCCAAAGGTGAGCTGTAAGTGGCAACTTACTGCTTGAGAAATGCTTAGCAGAAGATTCTGACACATAAAACTTTACACTGACCTTTCTTTAACATCATGAGAGTCATCACTAAATGATCCAATATGTAAAGAATAGCTATAGAGTGATCTGACATTAGATTACGTCTCACAAGTACTTCCATAAAGCAGGCTTAATGGGTTAGTTTCACCTCAAATGAAATATCTGTCATCATCTACCCTCATGTCATTCCCAGCCAGTACAGCTTGCTTTCTTGCGTTAAACACCAAATAAGATAAACTGAAAGTGAGAGCGGGGAGAGTCAAAGTCACCATTAATTTTAACAGAATGAAAAAGATAAGATTTTGTATTTTTATTATTTGTCTAAATCGTTTTTACATTATCTTTGCTATCATTTACTGATCTCATGAGGTTAATCTTTTAAAATATACACAGTTGAATAAATCTTCTCTTTAGTAAGTATCAAGTAGGTATTCTTTTGGTTCAGTTAGTCAATTTGGTTGTGTATTTTGTTTTTAGACTATGTCATACCCAAACATTTTCAAATGAAAGGCTAAAAAAACAAAGAGCTGTGGGCCAAAGATATTTATACCAAACTACATCACATTAAAGTTCATTCATTCACTTTCTTTTCAGCTTAGTCCCTTTATTAATCGGAGTTCACAGTGGTCAGCGGAATGAAGTGCCAACTTTTCCAGAATTTGTTTTACGCAGCTGATAACCTTCCTGACACAACCCATCACTGGGAAACATCTATACACACTCCTTCACACACACACACTAGGGACAATTTAGGTTACCCAATTCACTTACTGTATACCACATGTTTTAAACTTGTGGGGGAAACCGGAACCCACCCAAACACAGAGAGAACATGCAAACTCCACACAGAAATGCCAACTGACCCAGCCGAGGCTCGAACCATTGACCTTCTTGCTGTGAGGCAATCGTGCTACCCACTGCACCACAGTGACGCCCTACGATAAAGTTGCCACTGGTGAAAATGTTACTTTAAATTGTATTATTTAATGCAGTATAACTTTTTAAAATGAAACAAAAACTAACAATCACATTTATAACACAGTGGAGTTCAATGCTGAATACACAGGTCAAGCAGAATCTGCCTTTGACTTGATTTGCTCACCAAATTCTCTGCATTGTTAAATGGTACATTTAAACATCTGATTATTTTACACCATTTATATTTAAAAAAACATTTTTTTTTTCAAAACATGTATATATATACACCCCCTGCCTAATTATCCTAACCTGCCTAATTAACCTAGTTAAGTCTTTAAATGTCAATTTAAGCTGTATAAAAGTGTCTTGAAACATATCTAGTCAAATATTATGTACTGCAATCAGTTATTAGAAATGAAATATATATATATATATATATATATATATTAGGATAATGTTATCTGAAAACTTCTGCTGCAGTATATGTGTCGTATATACAGATTATTGAAAGTTTAAAGCAATGTGTTTGCTACTTTTGTACTATTTGTTGTAAGTAAAAAAATTGTTCATTGAGACTCCTTTTCAATCTCCTTTTCTTTTTCTTTGATTTGTTCAAAACAATGAACACATTGTCTCATTGACTGCATGATTTATTGTGACTGCTATAATTTTAACTCACCAATTTATTTTTTAAAGCAAATTAAACTAAAAAGTAACTTGCATCACATTTTCAAAAAAAACTCAAATATTATTACTTTTTTTAAAGTAATGCGTTACTTTACTCGTTACTGTCATCGCGTGTTACTTGTAATGCGTTATTCAATTCAGTTCATCTTTATGTATATAGAGCTTTTACAATGTGGATGATGCCAAAGCAGCTTAGCATAGAAGTTCTAGTAAATTGAAACTATGTCTGTTAACTCCTACACTGTTTGTGACACACACAAATCTTGCAAAAACTGTACAATAGTTACTCAAAACAGTTTGCAGTTTAAAAACTGGCTTTCAAACGAACCCTTCAGGCATTTCACACCACCAGAAACATGTTGTGTCTAACAACACCCTGTAACCATGTTAAAATTAAAGCACATCCTCTTGCGGCTAACTGCTTTATTGCCAGTTAATTCTCGTAAAGTGGGCTTAAGTGTGCCATCAGTTCAGTTCTTCCTGAAGCGGATCTCTCAGAGCTGAGCGCAAGAAAGGAATCCAGTCAACTCTGTAAAACAGGAACAATATAACACTATGGCAAAACATAAGCAGAGCACATCCCTTTTCCCCTAGCAAATAATTGGCCTGTCCTCATCAATCATTTTTGGGATGCTGTGTTTGACGGAGTCCTGCTGTTTGAACGGTGTTAACTGAGACACTCTGCCCTGTTCCTGACCCTGATATAAATCAGAGCCCCTAGCACAGGTTACACAGTCACACACTGCAATGAGTCAATAAACATCTGCATCGCTCAGAGCTCTTATCAACCTCTCTGTATCTCTCTGTGGCTTGCAGCACGGAGCTCCTTCTGCTCGTTGCAATCTAACCACGTCAAGAATGCTTTTGACAGCGTTTGCTTCAAGGCTGTTTATTTGACGGACAACTGCTCTTTTAACATTGTAGCTTTGTCCGCAGGCAAGTCAGCACCGGCCATGCTCAGAGATCACACCGGTCTCATTCTATAACAACAATGAGCATGGTTTCTAAAGGCATTGTGACCGTGATGAATGGGACAGCTTTGATTGTACGTTTGTATGCGTGTGTATGTGTCACCCGCATGTTGCTCTCTCCAGTTTACATTACCTACCTTGGTATGAACATGCATAACCATAGGTCGCTGTATAATAAAGCCATTCCTTGTTCTCTAATGCAGGTGGGAGTTTGGTGGTGGCCGAGTAGTCGGATCGGAGCAATGCCTTCCATGCCATCCGTCACCAGTGAGCCATGTCAAAGGAGACGCTGGCAGGTGTGTACTGTGTAAAGGGGCGATATCTTTGCTCGGACATCTACTGACTCAAGTAACCAGGAGATGCTCTAATTACTCTGTAAACCGTCCTTTCGTTTACCATCCACCTTTGCTTTGTTTGCTCAGGTGCTTGTATGGGTTCTGATGTCTCTGCTGCCCCTAGTGGCAGGGGGCAGGTCGCGTTTTCGGGTAGAATCAGAAGCTGCGGTGGGATTTGGTGCTGCAGGAGTTGATGATCCACCCTTGGAGGCTTTTCCAGATGTTGAAGAAGAGCTCGAGGAGGGCAGTGACTCCCCGTGGCATGGTCTCTTTGGTGAGTTAAATGTCTGGGAATGATTTCTACAGCAAATAAATCGACAATGAATTATTCAAATCTGAGCAGGGGATAAGCATCTCTTCTTTTTGTCTATTTCCACAGAGCCATCTGTTCTTATTGAAGATGACCAGCAGCCAGCGCGATGGGAACGTTCTCCTCGCTCACCGGATACCTCTGACATACAGACCAAAGGTGCACGCAAGAAAAAGAAGAAAAAAGAGAAGGAGGAAAGGAAGAGGAAAGATAAAAGTAGCAGAGGAAGGCACAGCAGTCGGGACTGCCGTGTCGAGAAACGTGAGATGCGTGTACGGGACCTTGATATGGGTTTCGAATCGGACGAGATCATCCTCTTTAAGTTCTGTGTGGGCTCCTGCCAGAGGTCTCGGGGGAACTATGACTTGGCTCTACGTGCTTTGCTGGCCAACGGTAGTCTGCCCAAGCGCACCGCCAGGAAGGTAAGCGCGCACCCTTGCTGCCGCCCCACAGGCTATGAACCGGTCTCCTTTATGGATGCTACCACAACCTGGAGGACCATCAAGTCACTCTCCGCATCAGACTGTGAATGCGTGGGATGAGGTGTGCTGAAAGAGTGGAGGGGGAGCGTGACCTGAAGAAATGGTGCAACGGTCAAAGAGAGGAAAGGAGGAACCAGGAAGCCTCCTGGGCCATGGCTGCAGAATAAGGTCGGGCTGGGTTGGCCGTGGTGTTATGCTGTGAGGGATTTTGGTTTTGGCTGTGAGTGATTCACAACAGTCGGCACATACAAACTTTCATCACACCAAACCTCGACAGAAAAGTTTGAATGGAGTCAGAATACGATTTGACCAAGTCAGATGACGAAAGACTCAATGTGAAGAGTTTGAGGATGGAAGAACAGCAACACTGGATGGTCCATCTGAATAGCTCTATAAACAAAAACTACATGTTATAACTCGACACGCATTTGCTCACCAGGAGTTTCATCAGACTTGGATAAAGCATGAAATCCTTTTTCATTTGTCAGCCATTTGTTGATCCTGGATGTCAGTGCCCATTTTCCTGGCCTTCGATCTGGCATGTTATTTGTTTCAGCCAGACTAGCAACATTCGGATCGTTCATTATTAACAGCACATTATTGCTGCAATTACAATGTAATTGCACAAACATATGTGGAGTATTATTAAAAGTTTAGCCCACAGAAAACACAAAGGCCAGTTAGTATTACCTTTCAGCTAGAAGGTTGAATTTAGTTGCAGTAGGATTTTCATTTCTCAGGATTTTTACAGGACTGATATATGAACTATTTTCTATCTTACATTTTTAAACCTTTTTAATATCATTAAGTAAAGGGTTTTAAAAGGGTTAATGTTCCACGAGGCCAGTTTTTATACAGAAAGGAGAATATGAAGTGAATTTAAATAACCACTGGGACTGTCTAGTCTAGTTGAAAGTGCAGTAGTCCCATCCCGCCCAACCCCCCAGGGTATTTAAGCTGGTACATCAAATATTAATAGATAAACTACAAATAATTTCTCACTGGTCTAAAGACTGCATAAAAGGTGCATAAAGTAAAAGTCAGTTCTTTGTTCATAGATTATGTTTCCAATAAAATAATGATTCTGCCATAGTTATGGCCTTACAGCAGGAGTGTCCTTGAGGGCCAGTGTTCTGCAGAGTTTAGTTCCAACTTCCTTTAACATTCCTGCCTGGTAGTTTCTAGTACACCTAGTCTGTTTCTCAATTTCGCAGAGAAAGTACTTGCGTTCTTGTGAAGACTGGTTTTGCCAGGTCACCTCGAAAGAACGAACTCGGGAGATCCATTAGAATCTGAGAAATGAAATGCTGCGTTCTTCCTGATGGTCACGTGACCTTCACACATGTTTAACTAAAAATTATTTAAACATCACAGCATTCATACACTGATTTATTGCTTTTCCTCTTTTCACGATATACACTATGCATAAGGACCTTACAAATATACATTGCACAATACAAATAAAACAGATTTTAATACAAATTTCAGCAAATAAACTCTCTTAATGTGTTTATTCCATTATTAAGATTTTCATTGGAATGTTTCCTTTTCATTGTCATTTAGGGAAACTCCTGAGGCAAATAAGTGATATCTCTGGACCTTAATAACCAATCTACATAAAATGCTGCACTTCCCATCTCCAGTCGTAACGGCTTTTGGGACTTCTAGAGGGAGTTCGCTACTCAAATCTACATCGACACATCCTTGATACCAAGAACACATTCGGGAACTTTCACGCGTCCTCTGTTCTTGAGTTTTGGAACTGAACTTTGGCAGTTGATGATGACGTTACACGAGAACATGAGGACGCAAGATTGCTGAAGAATGCATATTGAGAAACAGCAATTGAAAAAGCTTAATTAGGTGGTTCAGGTGTATTTAATTGGGGTTGGAACTAACATCCAGTAGGGGTGTCCAAACTCAGTCCTGGAGGGCCAGTGTCCTGCAGAGTTTAGCACCAACTTCCTTTTAGTTTTTAGTACACTTAGAAAGAACTTGATTAGCTGGTTCAGGTGTGTTAAACTGGGGTTGGAACTAAAATATGCACTACACCGCCCCTCCAGATATGAGTTTGGACACCCCTGCCTCACAAGGTTTCCCCCATCTACACCAACAACAACAACAATAGCATAATGTGATGTTTACCAGATTGTGCTCATTAATGTTCTCTTTTATCAACACAGATGATGACCACAATGCATTTGCCATTGTTTATCTTATTGTTACCAAATGGATGCCATGCATTCTGTATCATTTACTGTACACCTAACAGATATCATATTTATTTTTGCATTTAAATTATTTATTTATTACTATGTCTACACAAGTGTCTTGTGATTATATTTATTGTTTATACCTTGGCCTGTGCTCTGCAATCTGTCATCTCACGATGAACTATTGTGAATAACAACAAGGTTTTGAGTAAAGGTCAGTAATTGTGGTGAAAAATTAGCTAGTTAACCCAATGATTTCATTGAGTTGGAAAGGCCTTTTGGAAAACTTAGTCAGCACGTGACAAGGAATTTCTTCGGGTGCTTTTGTTTATTATTTCTCCAAGGGTTATAAAACTCTGAGAGCTCTTACTGGGAAGTTTCATGTTCAATTTATGAAAAGGAAATTAAAATAGTTTTCTTCCAAAACACCAGGAATGAGGGGGAGATGGATTGCTTTGACTAGTCCATCTGTCAGCCCAATTTGCTGACCTTAGGAACCTTGATGTTGTATTCTGTTTCTATATTAAAAGCTGCTCCATGAGGACATTTAAAAATATTGCCGATAACAATAAATTGCTTTGCTTCAGTATTTTACATGTTTTATTTATCATCTGTTTTTTTTTGGCAAAGTTACTCTTTATTTTTGTACTTTGTATTTTCTGTATAGGAATAAAGCTCTTTATATATAAACATTGTGAATAATTATTGACTGCGTGCAACAAGAAACACAAAATGTCAAATCTGTCTGCAAGTTTGCTTTACTATGCCGTCTTTGTTTAGAAAAAAAACATATTAATGAAAACGATAGCTCTGTGCTTTATGTTCATCTGCACCACAGCGCTTTTCCCTCCATTGACCTCATGTCTCAGTTCAGCTAATGGCAATCATCAGGTAGTCAGGTAGACTGCTTGGAGACATGTATGTACATTATAGCACCATTAGGCCCTAGGTGAACCTCTCATCTGCTAAAGTGCAAAGAACGTTTCCATCTGTTGTCGAGCTGCTAATGAGCGCACCCCTCACAGACCAGCTTGGCTCTGGCTCAGGGGCCTCGATCTGTGCGGTGAGTCTGCACCTCTCACACCGTGGGTGAACTTAATTAACAGGAGATTGGAACCTCTTCTGAAATGTTAACGGATAACTGCACTGCTTGGTCCAGATGGCGGCAACAGTGTGGTCACAATGGGTTAGAACTCATCTTTGACCCTCATATAAGGAATCATTGATGATGGGCTGCTGAATTATTATGAAACAATATAAAATTATTTATGGAAGTCATAATATATTTATACAACTTTTTATATTTTGCATAGAGTACAGCTTGGTGTTGACAATGAAAAGGGGGCGCAAATTACAGGTCCAAAAATGTTACAAAGAAGTAACCCACACATCATAACTAAGAGTCTTGTGTGAAAACAGATTAGCAATGTGGCTTTTGTTTGATGCTCTTTGGGAGTGCAGGGAGGTAATAGTCAAAATCCATCCTCAAAGTGATTTTAGATCGACCAAAACAACATTTCAGATATTTTAGATATAATGTGACCTGTGCTGATAATGTGACCTGTGCTGGAATGCTGCTGCTGCTGATGATAATGCTGGAGTTTATTCAGTAAATGTGTTTCATTTACGCTAAATTCCAAAATGAGCACAAAAATAGGTGAATGGAAACACATTTGTATAATTTACAGGTGTACACATGAAAAAAGGCATAGGCTATACCATGTTAAATAAATAGTTAGGCCTAATTGTCAACATTATCATATGTATTACTATAGATATTTAAAAACTGCTATCAAACAAATGAAAATGAAAGGAGATCTGTTTGATCACACAACAACACTTAAAATAGACATGTTGAGTCCAAGATCTTCATTTGCGTAATAATGAAGGAATGGGACTGGTTGGGCAATTTTCATTTCTTTCATTTTTTTTTTCAGCTTAGTCCCTTTATTAATCTGGGGTCACCACAACAGAAAGAACCACCAACTTATCCAGCATTTGTTTTACGCAGCAGATGCCCTTCCAGCTGCAACCCATTTCTGGGAAACATCCATACTTCACACTCATACACTACAGACAATTTAGCCTACCCAATTCACCTGTACCACATGTCTTTGGATTGTGGGGGAAACCAGAGCACCCGGAGGAAACCCATGCGAACGCAGGGAGAACATGCAAACTCAACAGAGAAACGCCAACTGACCCAGCCAAGGCTGGAACCAGCAACCTTCTTGCTGTGAGGCGACAGCACTACCTACTGCGCCACTGCATCACCTGTTTGGCCAATATTCTTCGATTTTACTGAGGTAAGAAACAAGGAAAAGTTGATTTTATATTCACACATTCAGATTTTCTCCTTAATAATATAATTTAAGTATTTATTTATTTTTTGCAAATTTTCATTTAAATTCTCATAAAATCATATTAGCAACAAATGACTATCAAAGTACAACATTGTTTATAATAAAAAAAAATGTGCTAATGTTGATTCTAGGAGACTTACATGCGATTTCACAACGAATAATCAAAGTAGCAGGGTAAACAATATAGGGAGCATGTCACTGAACGAATGTGCGAATATAAAACCAAATTTACCTCAATGAGGTAGGATGACCGTATAATGTAAGTAAGCGTCAAGATGACACAATACAGGTTCATATTCACGCAGGTGCTCATATTCCAACTGTGTGCAAAATATAATCATTTATCAGTGAGCACTTGATTGGGAATTGTTCTGATCGACTTCAACTTAACTGACTCGGTTTCTCGATCACCGGTCACCGCTGAATGGAGTTGAAAGAAGATGGTTGGTGTGGTGTACACGTTTAATGCTGGCATTGTTATTTTTGTCACGGTTTTGTCAAGTTTATGGAGCTGTTTTCAGCATTTTTGCAGATGAACAGCAATAAGAAAGAAAGAATATTTGTGACAGGAGCTATGATTCGACAGATTTGTTGTATATAACAACTATAGCCTATCTTGAGTTGTTTTTCTAACCGTTTAGAAGATGAAATATGTATTTAATCGTTTACTCGAAGCGTTCTTTTTAAAAACTGTGCTGACATCTGCTGGTCAATATAAGACATGACAGTCAACAGAGATGTGGGGGAGAGTGGGGACAGTTGCAACACTCTTTTTCTTCAGTTCCTCAGAGAACATTTTTTTTAAACCCGAAATTTAATATAATAAACCCACATCTATTGGACACCTACCCAATTGATTAATTGATTAATATGTGTACATGTGATAAAATATGCAGAATTTCAACTTAAAGTCAAACGTTGCAAACATTAGATCTGGATTTTTTTAAAATTCATTTTTCTGTAAACAGACTAAGTATAAATTGGTTAAATATGTTAAAGTGACCATATAAATACAGACTATTAAAAGAACAACCAATAGCCAATTATCAGGCCTAAAAAAAACTGAACAAAAGTATTTTGTACTGAAAATCTAGACTGAACCTTTACTAAGATACGCCTATGAATTTTGAAATTAATTAATTAATAAAATAGTTCATTTTTTCAAATTAAATTACATTGAAACTTTGATAAAATTAACAATTGTACATTGTTAATATGTCAAGCGTTTAAGTGAATTTTGTAATTGTGGAAAGATGCAACAGCATGTTGCAACTGTCCCAACTCTGTCAACCCTGATTAAACGGTTTATGCTAGGTAGGCACAATAGCTTTAACGCTTGATAGCTATACCTATTTGAAACTAAGTAAACAGTGATTTAAATCATATGAATGAATAATATTTCACAAAAATAGATCAGACAGTATGAAACATTTTTTGAACATTAAAAAAAAACTGTATTTTTAATTTTTTTTTACTTAAAAATGTGTTGTATACTGAAGTAATGGTCACATATGACTGATTTCTCTCAGATTGAAGAAGAGTCTAACTGAAAATATGTAGTATGAATAGTATTGTTCTAGCTCATTCCTGAATAGAGGAATACATCTTGCTGCAACTCACTCTCCTCTACTTTTCATTTTATTGTGCAGGCCTAACGTTCAAGAAGAAATGTTCCTGGTGCAAATAAAGTTTTGAAAAAATCTGAAAAAAAAAAAAATAAATAAATAAATAATAATAATAATAATAATAATAATAATAATAATAATGTGGTTTATATAAAAGGCCAGAACTCCCATAATATATTTTAAATGATAAAATAAATACTGTAAACTATCATTCACATAACTGGGAAAAATGGTCCTCTAATGTTAACTTAATAAATAAATAAAATTCCTATATTTACTTATGTTTACCAAAATTATAGAATGTAACATTCATCTAAAATTTGCAAAAGCATGAGAAAATATGAAATAAATAAATCATAACATATTGGGAGAACAATTGAATGTAACATTTAAATATGTTTCTCAAATTTGCAATGATCTTTAAACACACGCATAAACAAGTAACTTAAACAACAAAAACTTAAACAAGTTCCTAAAACAACATAAAATCTTAGGAGAATTTTAAATAAAAAAATAAATCTCCCGAGAACATTCACAATGTTTTGAAAATCAAACAATGGATTATTACAAAGAAAAATAAATTGTCTAAAAACAATCAGCTATATCGAATAAATCTCAGT